CAAGTTATTAATATTCGATTATTTCAATATTTCATATCTGCATTTTAATTTTCATTTTTAATTAAAGTCAGCAATATATTAATTTTGTTTTTTTAGGTTAGATTACGTTAAAAAGTATATATTCAATTGTTTAATAAGTAGCAAGGTAAATGGGTAGAAAAACACAGTTTAATCTCATCTCCTCCTTGTGTCCTTCTCTTTTCTTTCTTTTTTGTTTTTTTTGTTTTTTGTTTTTTGTTTGTTTCTTGGGGAGTTTTGATGAGATTTTTAGCTCCTAAAAGAGCTGATATGAAGCTGTAAAGATAAAAATAACAATTATGTGTCCAATAATGCTATTATCGATTGAGATTTAGATTTGATTCCCATATAATAACAAGACTAAGCACAAATGAAAAAAAAAGCAGCGGCAGATGTAAACAAGATTGTATTCGTGAGCTAAGAAGCATTATTAGACGTAAAAATGAGCTCTCGCAAGATTTATATTAGATTTCAAGGCCGGTATTCATAGGTGTGAGTTATTTAAAATCTTTGACTGAGAACATCATTAATTACCGATTCATGGATCTTTATTCGGTTGTCGGGTCTTGAATCAATATATATTTCTTATACAAAATATTATAACAAGTACAGCTTGACGAATAATCGGAAATTCATGAAACTACTTGTGACTTGTCAACGACAGCGGACTATGAACGTCGGCCTAAATTTCGACTCTGGTGTCTTTTTATTCCCGGCAAGCCCGAGTCAAAAGTCCGTTAAAAACGGAAACTTCCCGCATAATGTATTTACATTTATATTAAGTGGTTTTGTTTTTTTAAATAAAAGCTATTTTCAATTTTCGCTCGAAGAACGCTCCAAACTTCAACGTCGTGCATAATGAGTGATTTGACATACCTCGAGATATATATATGATGTATCACCGTCCACATCATCCAGCGTCCTGCATCCTTCATCCTGGCATCCCACGTCGCATCCTGGCTCCATCCTGGCTGCTCGTCACTGCGACACAAACACTGATATTTACGCTGCTGACACTGACACTCCTAGATAGATACGATTCGATCGAAAGAACACGTGTCAATTAACGCGATGTCGACGATAGTCTGATCAAGATAGTCGTAACAATACACGTGGTCCTGCGTGTCTCTCGCCGGCTCGGAACTTAATGAAAACACTCGGAAAAGTCTACGACGTACGAAGGTGTAATAAGTTTGAACGCCCGATTATTTTTATTGTATGATCGCTCGGTGTTTATCGTTGAACGTCAACCAGTGACGACGGAGGAAGGACTAACTTTGCACGTCTAGGTTCACACCACTTTTCTTCCCTACGACTGAGCGTTACGTTACCCTTGACGCCAAGTATTTTGGAATATTTAATCAATCTCCTGACCATATCGCACGTTAATTGGCTCGTTAATTTTCCAATCAAATCGTATCTACACGAGAGTGACGTACTGTGTCGGGAAATGTGTTTCGTATATACATATATTATATATACACACAAATTTCTTTTCGTAAAACGAAAATACAAAATCGATCGATTGCTCGTTGAAATTACGAATAAGTTGAATATTGAGATAATCAAATATCCAGTAATCCCCAAGTTTCTCTTTTAAGGACAATTCAATGTGGGGAGAATGGCGTTAATAATTTGTAGGCATCGCGGCAGGACAATGTAAAAAGTTATATCCCGAGATTCTGCATCGCTTCTTCGACGGAATACGCACGATTGAGCGTGGAACCAACATTTCGATTCGGATCTCTCAGCCAGCGGATCAAAGCTGAAAGGGTCAAACTCGGAGTGCTCGGAGGAGTAAGAAACGGCATCGCGTCGGTGAGTCTGCAACGGATAGTGCGGACAGATTCGGCCCGCGAGACAATCTGTATGCCGCGCTATCCGCAGCCCTGATCTAGCCTCGTCATTGGGGAATGTGGGAGTGTCGGCAAAGGATCATCCGCGTCTCTCGCGAGCGAGTGAGAGGAAAGATCGCGGTGACAGTCGGCCGAAGAGGTGTCACGAAGGGGCGTGGAGGTTCATCACGCGCTTCAGTGTCGCTCTCTATCGTACGCCTCTCCTCCGTATGTTTGGCATAATGTCAACGTAGCATGATAATCAATTTGTCGGCCACGCTCGGCAATAATCGACGGTGGCTTTTAATTACAATTACAACTACATTACGACGTGTGTAATTACGTGGTTATCGCGTTGCAATCAAGAAGGGGGGAATTGCGAGAAAATCTTCAAGGTGAAATCTTCCCGCGGTGACTCTCTGAGGGAAGACCATTAATGCCGCTCGCGAGAGTGTCCGTTTTCCGCGACGACGCGATCTTTCAACGTGCGTGCCACCCGGTGCGATCTTGTGCACTCGCGAAAAGGAGGAAATCTTGCCATCTCGATGCAAGAAGAGGATCCACTGGCGACGAAACGAGAGAGGGAGGGAGGGAGGGAGGGAGGGAGGGAGGGAGGGAGAGGAGGAGAGAAGCATCCAGCTCACGTATGACTCAGAGGTATTTGGGTTTCCAGTCGAGGGCTCCGGAACACGATCGTTCCCGTTTCCAGTCGTTCCGGCTCCAACTACGGTTTTGTGGCTGCTCATTGGCCCCCGCGGAGGTACCGGGCCAACCGCGTCCCATTATCCCATGCTAATTCACCGGCTATGGCTGTCATTGCCTCGAGGCGAGGACTGACAAGTAACACCTCTTGGCTCGTGTTCCTCGGGACCGTAGGAGTGTCTCCTCTCTCGCTTTCCCTTCGCGGTACCCGCCGTCTTCTTCCTCTCGTCACTCGTCATTGGTCGTCCCGCTGGGGGCGCTTCTCTCTTTCTACATTTTCTCTCTTCTCTCCTGAGTGTGCATCGCGCACCGTCCGGTACCGATGGACAGACACGGGTGTTCGGGGTATCACTTTCTCTTTCTCGGTTCTTACGTTCCCTCCAACGCGGGTAGCCCCCGCGCGGTACCCTCCCGCCCCCCGTCCCCGCCCCCCCCCGCCCTGCCTGTTCATGTTCGCGCTCGCGCTCGCGCTCGCGCGAGCATGAGCGAGCGCTATCCACACCCCGTCGGGCCCCCTCCCCCCCCCCTCTCTCTCTCTCTCTCGTGGGCCTCCCCCTTAGCGCGCACACTCCCGTGGCGACCGAAAATCAACTCGTCATGCTCGCTTCATTTTCTGCCCGACGTAAAACAGCCATTTGTTAGGTCGTGTCAAGCCCGCAAGACCGTCCGCGGGGTGTCCCGTTTCTTGTCTCTCTACGAATGGCATATCGATTGGCGATTCATGCGATCGACGCCCGATAATAAATATCCGAGAGCTAGAACGGTGTAACGCCCGACGAGCGAGTCTTTCGGTCCGCGCGCGCGCGCGGTCCCCGTACGCCCCCTCCCTCCCTCCGCCCTCACCTAGCAGCTCCCCGCTCCTCGTATTAATAAGCGCGGAGGCCTCGCGCGACGTTAAGCAACGAGAACATAAATTTCCCGTCCAACGACCGTGCGAGCGCCGTGGCGACGTTTATTTCCACTTACGTTGCCGTTACATCGTCGTCGCTGACGATCGATCGCGAATTAACGTTACGCGGCTAAATTTAGCGCCGGTCGGTGTGTCGCGCCGAAAGTTCCTCGACGCGCCTCGCCGTCAGTCACAGATTCGCGCGCCTCTTCTCTCGTCGTCGTTCATCGCGTCGTTCTCGTCGCGGTCGTCCTCGTGTCATCGTCGGGATGAGGAAGACGCGCGCGCGCGCGCGTCCCCCGGATTCCCCGGTGTCGTGTATTCCGCGACGTTTTAACGACCGGAGGAGCAGCATTCGCCGCTCGATCATCATCACGTGCAGCAATCCAGTTCCGCGCTAGGTTCCTCCCTCCCAGCCATTAGAGGGCGAGGGGGAGGCCCCCCTCCCCCCGGACGCGCTCTTCCGTATGGGAATCGCCGCTCCGCCGCCGCCGTCGTCGTCGTCGTCGAGAGGACGATAGTTTCGCCGGGCTCGTATTTGTTACGCGAAATTTCACTATGTGTCCAGAACAGATTGGTGTCGCGCCGCTTAGCCGTACGTTGGCCTCGCGGACGCTCGTTATGCCGCGGAGCTGTCTCGTAAATAACTGCCTTATATTCTCCGCCTCCCTCCCTCTCGCTCCCTCTTACGTGCTCATTCACTCGTTCGCCTCGCTGTTTAGAGGTCCCGACGGGCTCGGGGTTTATGAAAGGCTTAAAAACCGTAGTAACTGTGCGCTCGTGTTGCGAGACGATAAACGCCGCGACGCGCGGGCGCGCTCCGTCAGAGAGGGAAGCGGCGAGAATTATCGTCGAAATAGATGGAACGAATTGACACGCATAATGCCGGCGGCGGCGGCGGCGGCGTTTCCCGCCCGGAGCCCGTTGCTCTCGCTAACTAATCGCTTGGGTCGTGCGATTTTCATTGCGGCCGGACGCGCGTTAACCGCCTCGCGATTTCCCGAGAACGCCGGAGAACGCCGAGACACGAGGGGCATTATTCCAGTTTGCCGAACTTGCTGGATTCATAGCTCGATCGCGTCAACTCGGTACCATCCTCGATGGTCACGAGCGAACGAGCGGTGACCTCGGCGACGCCACACGCCTCCAGAAGCGTACGTTTGACATTTTACCGTAAATGCGGTGCGTTTGAGTTTGACGACGCGCGCAAGTACTCCTTTCATGATGATTCTCGACACTGGACCTCGCGCTAATTTCGACGTGGATTCAACGGACGTCAGCCGTAGAGGGTCGTCGTGAAAACATTTCAGACGCTTCACTTCCAGCAACAGGTCTGCGCGACCGGTTGAAAATGCGATTCCATGATGTACGCTTCTAGATTACAAAGGACGAGGAACGGCATGACGTACGTCGCGACGATCTACTTTGTTATCCATGTCGTCGAAACGTGGAGAGTCCGGAGAGAGAGAGAGAGAGAGAGAGAGAGAGAGAGAGAGAGAGAGAGAGAGAGAGAGAGAGAGAGAGAGGGAGAGAGAAGAAGAAGAAGAAGAAGAGAAAGAGAAAGAGAGAGAAAGAGGGAGAGGGGGGGGGAGAAGAGAATCGCGGTTTAGTATGCGCGCCGTCGCTGTCTTCACACCGACTTGAACCGAATTTATGTGGCACCGGGAGCCGAGGGTGTGCGTTTGAATCCAGGATGAGACACATCCATATTTTTTTTCTTTACGACCACGAGAGAGCGAGCGAGCGCGTGCTCTCGTGGAACCGCATGCCGGATGTAGCGCGCGAAACGACACTTTTGCAACGACATGGTTATGACCTCGGACACGAACGAGCGGAGGACGTTCGTGCAGTCGGGAGGATTGCGAAACAAGCGTGTCGTGCGCACGGGCGCGCGGCATAATGCATGAAGCGAGATCTGGAAACATTTGAAGTGCGCACAAAGAAGACCAGCCCTTTCCGCGCTGCGCCGACCCCGCGACGATGCACGTAACGTACGCGCGCGTTTTCTTAATCCTGTCTGTCACCTTAATAAGTCATCCGTCGCAGTCGTCATCCAGATTCAGATTTCCCCGACGGCTGATCGGATACAAATGTAGAACGTAGAACGTAGAAAGAGAAGACGAGAAATCTTTCTGGCAACAACATTTCGCGACGCAAGAGCGTGCGCGTCATCCGGCTTGGATACTCGATACGCATCGTTCATATCGCGACGCGATGGCCATTCGCGTTTCGAAAAAGCGGCTGACCGCATCGGAAGAAGACCGACTGCTCTCTTCGTGGGTAGCTGCGGCATCAGCATTCGACGAAAAGCCTATGCCGCAGTCGTCGTCGACGGAGGCCGCAGACGACGGCCGCTATCAACAGGCCGGTTATATTGTCGCCGCGTTGTTTGCAGGCGGTTGCGCCCGCGCGAAGATATATACGAGTCGCTGTCACAATCTTTCGCCAGATTCGGGAACACTCGCGAGAGAGAGAGAGAGAGAGAGAGAGAGAGAGAGAGAGAGAGAGGCTGCCAAGGGGTCGAGGAATCCCGACCTCCCTGCGAACGTTTAAATCGATCTTCGCTCCCTCCCTCGTCGGCCTCGTCGAGGCCCGGAGGCCTCAACTGTGTCGAGGGGACCACTCGAATCTCGTTACCGGGCCCAGCAGGACTCCGATTACCATTTCTCGGACAAATCGTCGCCTCGGAGCCGGTCGCCGCACCGCGCGCTTTAAGCGATGGTGTAGACGGTCATTGATGTTGGTAGGCGGATGAGCGAATAACGAGCCGATCGACTCGTGCGCGGAGTCGAGCCGTTAGGGAATATTCTCGCTACGACGACGACGACGACGATGACGATGATGATGACGACGACGACGACGACGACGACGACGACGACGACGACGACGACGACGACGACTATCGCGATAAACACAGAGCAGAGAGCCGCCGCGATCTTGTCGCGAAGCGA